TTTACATAGTAGTATCGATACCATAGGCTTAGTATCGATATCGTCAGGCCCAATGGCTAGTAACGACTGGTTTTATTTAAAAATAACAAAGGTAGTACCGATACTCCCTATAGGAGTACCGATACCCTCTGTACTTGGCAGTTTATTTTTGCAGAGAAAAATCCCCAAAGGCTAGAAACGGCCACAAACACATTCTAACATATAAATACAAGTTCAAGACACTTGAAGAAGGGTGAGAACACCTATCCAAGCAATCAAACACAAGAGAAGAACATTTCTTTTCTATTTTCATTTCTCTTGTAAATATTTGTGTTTTGAGCTTTATTGCAAATCTTTTTATTTGGTTTGGTGAGCTTAAAATTCTTGCAAACACCCTACCTTAGAGAGGTTTTCTTGTTTACATTTCTTTTCTTTGTGAAAAGGGGATTGGTTCTAGCTAAGCCTGTTAAAAGCTAGAGAGTGTAAAGGTTATCTCTTGATCCTATAAAAAGAAAGAATAAATTAGTGAATTTGTTAGAAAATCCTTAGTGAGGGGCTAAGGTAGTGGAGGTAGACTTAGTTGAGAAGTCGAATCATTATAAATCGCTTTGCAAAGTTGTCTATCTTTTCTTTCTCCTTATTCCCTAATCAATATTTGCTAATTCACCCATCTTGGCACATTTTCGGTTGTCCAATTTGAGTTTCAACAATCCCAACAACCATTTTCGCTCAAATCAATATTGAATTTTAAGACGAAGTAGTGATATCTCGTTATTTCGGTTGGAGTAATAAATGACTTCTTTAAGGCATGAGAGGTCGTTTATTCTCGATTGGAAATAATTAGATATTATCATTTTCTCTCTTAAAATTATTTTTGTATTGTTATTTTGAATTAGTAATGAACTTTAGAATGAAATTTTAATATTTCTTTATTTCGGTTGGAGTAAGAATCGATTGCTTTAAGGTATGAGATGCCAGTTCTTCTCATTCGGAAATAATTAAATATTATTATACTTCGTCCTAAAATTGAAAGAGTATTATTTGTATGGGATCTTGAATTAAATTAGCCTCGAATTCTTAAATTTCATTGCAAAAATAATTAATTAATCGACTAGGTACCGATTTAGGGCATTTTTGGGGTGTTAATCCTTCCCCATACATAACCGACTCATTAACTCAAATTTTGGTAACGCATACCGCAAATTTATTGTTTTAATTAAAATGAATGTTCTTTTTAAAATGAAAAGTATTTTTTGGGTGCCCAATCCCACCCTAATCAAATTTTGGTGGCGACTCCTCGAACCACATTTTATCATTAACTGGCCATCATATTATTCGAAGCGAGGCCCCTTTTCCTTTTCAAAAAAAAAAACCGTTTTGACACTTCTAATATTATCTAACCTAAATTAGTGAAAATTCAGTGTTATTTAATTTATGAACAAGAAGTAAAAGAGTTAAAGAATTAAAAATATGTTAGTAAAAGTTCTCTAGAGGGATCATAAATCCGATGAAGCCATTTGGGAGTCCGAAGAACATATGAAAAATCAGTATATGCATTTATTATCTTTAGATAAAATTCGAGGATGGTTTTTAATAAGGGAAATTATAACATCATAAAACTCTAAATGGAAATTTTTTATAAGTCCAATGTTCGAGAATTATATTTGAGGATTTAATTTATTAATTTTGAACCTTCGAATTTATGTATAAAAGGATTAAATTTAGTCGGATTAAAGTATGATTTGAATTTGGACTAATTTGAAAATCAAAAGGTGCTAATTCAAATTTTGGGACTAAATTCAAATAAAAGAAAATGTTGAAATTTGAATGACAATTATCCCTTTTAGTAAGATAATGGAATTGAATGAGTAAAATACGGGTATGTGTCATTATATCCCCTTTTCCTAATGTTACATTATTATTATTATTATTATTATTATTATTATTATTATTGTTGTTGTTGTTGTTGTTGTTGTTGTTGTTGTTGTTGTTGTTGTTGTTGTTGTTGTTGTTGTTGTTGTTGTTGTTGTTGTTGTTGTTGTTGTTGTTGTTGTTGTTGTTGTTGTGTTGTTGTTGTTGTTGTTGTTGTTGTTGTTGTTGTTGTTGTTGTTGTTGTTGTTGTTGTTGTTGTTGTTGTTGTTGTTGTTGTTGTTGTTGTTGTTGTTGTTGTTGTTGTTGTTGTTGTTGTTGTTGTTGTTGTTGTTGTTGTTGTTGTTGTTGTTGTTGTTATTATTATTATTATTTAAGGTAAAGTGTACAAATACTCCCCCAACTATGAGGTATTGCTTTACTGAGTCCCTCCACTATTAAAAGTTTGACTATTAAAGGTTACAAAATGTCCCCGACTATTCATATGTTTCAAACTTATCATTTTTCGTTAAAAATTGGTGACACTCTGAGCTATACGTTAACGTGCTAACTGGGATATGATAAAATCTAATCTCATAACTGTTTGAGCTTAGATGACTGTAAATTATCATATCTCAGTCAGCGAGTTAACATTCAGCTCAGATGACTGTAAATTTTTAACCAAAAAAGGACAAGTTTGGAACATATAAATAGTCAAGTGACAATTTTGTAACTTTTAATAGTCGAGAGACTCAAAAAATAACACCTTTTAGTTAGGGATTATTTGTAATTTTTAATAGTCGGGAACTCAACAAAACAACACTCTATAACTGGTGAGTCATTTGTATACTTTACCATTATTTAGTAGGATTAGAAATCAAAAAATAATTTTCCATTCTCTTGTAGCAAAAACGGGTTGAAAAGATAATTAGAGAGAGAAAAAGCTTCCATACTCATCCATAGAACCCTTGATTTTAGAGACAGAAATTAAAATTTTATTAAGGGCTTGTTTATTTACGTAAAATATTTTATTGAAAACATTTTCCTTATTTTTAAGTCTTTTGGTTGGCCAAAAATAGATAGTTCAATGTAAAATATTTTCTTGACATTTTTTAAAAATAACTTACGGTCTGATTTTTCATAAACCATTTTTTCAAATTTTCCACTACAAAATATAAATAAAATAATATTATTTTAGGTATTTAATATTAATATAATATTTTATTATCATTTTAATAAATATTAATTATTAAAATATTTAAAATATATTTACTTATATATTATAATAATTTAATATTATAATAATATATTCAATTATATTATTATAATATATAATATTATATTCTTATTTTAATAATATATAAAAAATTATTTAACAAATTTATATTATTTATTAATTTCATAAAAATAATATATTGAATTATTAATAATAAATAATCTTATTTATACATTTAATATTAATATAATAGTCTGATAATATTTTAATAAATACTTAAAATATATTTATTAATAATTTTCAAAATATAATTTAGTATTCCTATTTTAATAATATAATTTCAAATATTTTTATTTCAATAGAATATATTAGTCTTGATTTTTTTATTTATAAAATTATATAAATAATATTTAGTTTTTATAACAAATAATATTATTTATTGTATTTTATATTTGTAATAAATAATTTCTATAAGTTTACTAACTAATAAAAAATGATTTATACAACATTTTCAAAACACTATAAAATAATTTTAAAAAAAATGTTTTTCAAAAGATGTAATTAATTTTATAGAAAATATTTTTCGAAATATATTTAAAGTGAAACAAACAGACTCTAAATTAATAAGCTAAATTCAAATGCAACTTTTTTTAAAAAAATAAAATAATAAATTCAAATACAAGAATAGATTATTGAAGCTCAATTATTAAGCTCGCCATTTATATCTTTGATTTCATTTTCCAAGTTAAGATTTTCTCGACCATATTTGTCATCTTGGTTCATACATGGTTAAATTATAATCATTTATAATGTTAGTGACGTGGATATGTTTTTAAGGCTTTGGATGTTGCGGAGACCTTCAAGGATAGGGAGAAAATTAAAATTAGTAATTATTTTAATATTTTAACATTTAATGTTCTTTATTATTTTTATGGGTAAAGTATACAAATGGTTCTCTAATTATAGGGCGTTACTTTGTTGAGTCCCCCGACTATTAAAAGTTATAAAATGATCATTTGATTATAGAGCGTTGCTTTGTTGAGTCCACTGACTGTTAAAAGTTACAAAATGATCAACTGTATATGTTCCAAACTCGTTATTTATCATTAAAGAGTTGACGACAGTCTCACTGAATGTTAATACGTTGACTGAGATATGCTAAAATATAATCCTAGAATTTTAAGCGACTATCATATCTTATGGTTTGCTTTTATGGGTAAAGTATAAAAACGGTTCCCCAACTATAGGGCGTTATTTTGTTGAGTCTCCAACTATTAAAAGTTACAAAATGATCCTTCAATTATAGGGCATTGCTTTGCTGAGTCCACCGACGATTAATAGTTAAAACATGATCACCCGACTATTCATATGTTCCAAACTCATCATTTTCCGTTAAAAATTGACGACATTCTGAGCTGAAAGTTAAGCTGATGACTGAGATATGCTAAAATCTGATCACAGAATCTCAAATGACTATCATATCTCAATCAGCAGGTTAAAGTCAAGCTCGAAAGTTCATTAATTTTTTTACCAAAAAAACGAGTTTAGAACATATGAATAGTTGAGTGATCATTTTATAACTTTAATATTCGAGAGACTCAATAAAACAACATTATATAATAAGAAGACTGTTTTATAACTTTTAATAATCGAAAAACTCAACTAAGCAAAATTTTATAATCGCATGACACATTTGTGCGCTTGACCATATTTTTATATTATATATATTAAAAAAAGTGAAGGTAGCTATAAACTCGAATAATTATCCAACATTAATAAACGCTATTATTTAAACCACGTCTCCTCATCCCCAAGTTGTATTTGAAGCTTATAAGAAAGATTTAACCTTTCGTCTCCATTTCTAGTATTTCCCATTAACCCTAATTCCTCCACTTTATCCCTCCTTTTACTCTATTTGTTTCAAATTTTGAGTTTTTCTATTCTGGCTCTCCCAAGAATGGAAGCTTTTAGCTTGCTCAAGTATTGGCGAGGCGGTGGTACTATTGCTTGTGTTAATACACGTTCCACTGCCACTTGCACTACTACTATCGTGACGGCCGCCACCCCTAATCTGGCGGTTGACACGGATTACGACGACGTCGATGATGGCCCTTTCTTTGACTTAGAATTTGCAGTTCCTAATGAGGATGGAACAGAGGAAAACGAAGATAATGTTGAAGATGAAGAAAGTCTGGTCTCAAACGACGACGTTGATACGAATTCTGACGGTGGCTGCTCCGGTCCTCAATTCCGTGTCTCGTTTTTGAAGTCAGCTTCCAAAGTTGGGATTTTTTTGTTGTGGTTGAAGAAATCAGCCTCCAATGGCACTGTTACTCCCAAAAAACAAGAAAAAGCGAAAGAACCGAACAGTGTCAACAATAAGAACAAGTTTTTTACAGTGAAATTGAAGGTGGAAGAGGTTCCCATAATGTCTCTGTTTTCCAAAGACAACAAGTCGCATAAACAGAAAACCTCCGAAAACTCTGTTTCTGATGTAATGCAAAGGTACTTGAAGAAAGTTAAGCCTCATTACGTTAGGGAGAACTTAAGGTTCTAAGGGCCTTTAATGCCACCGTCTAAGGGGGCTCAAGAATCGGTTTCGGGAAAGGCAACGGCGGCGGCGCCGCCTGGGGAGAATCAGGCAAAGCGGGCGAGTGTTCAAACGGGACTTAGATTAGGTTCCTCCGCCGTAGCGGCGGAGAATTTGTCAAAGAGGAGAGATGATTCTCTGTTGCAGCAAGAAGATGGAGTCCAAAGCGCCATCTTGCATTGCAAAAGATCCTTCAATGGCTCTCAAGGTATTTCATTTTAAGCTCATTTAAAAGATTACCCTTTTCTATTTCCTTTTTGTGACTCCATTTTTTTTGTTTGGTTATGGTAGATTCTTCAGAGTCTTCACTGTCGTCAATCTCAGGTGAGTGAGCCATTAATTTGTGACGAAGAAACATCAGCAGATGAAGGAAGGAAGATCTTGTCTGTGTAGGAAAGCAAGTTAGTGTATGTAAGAGGCTACTCTTTCTGGGAAGTGAAAGAAGAATCGGATTGTTGTATCTATCTTTGAAAAAACATACTATATGTTCTGTAGTGCAGGCTCATCATTATCACCAATTTCTTTTCTTTTCCTACCGAAAATGCTGAGATTTTTGTTAGTAATATCCATTTTTATTTTATTTGTTAATGAACTAATCTACATATGGTATTATAAAAGTAAGATTGACTTCAATTTAGTTTGTTCTCGTTCTCATAAATGTCAGAATTTAAACTCCTAGTGAATTTTTTAATTGTTATTTTCTGTTTCCACAGTTTCGTTTTGATTAATTCGAACCAATCTGAATAACATATCTGGTTGTAATAAATGAGTCCTCTAACAAAAAAATTCCTACCTAAACAGAAATTCAAATTTGAAACCTACTTAAGTAATATTAGCTATTTATCACTTGCAAATTCGTAACTTTACTTATTAGTAATGGCGAGACCTTTTTAATTTGGACATTTTATTATTAATGGCTCATTTTATTAGGATGTACTTGGGGGTGGTGCCTGTATCCGAAAAATTGAGGGAGGGAAGACTACGGTGGTTTGGGCATGTCCTTAGGCGACAATCGTCGGATGCGGTCATGAGGGTAGAATCGATTACAGTCGACGGTGTCAGAAGGAGAGGACGACCAAGACGGAAGTGGGAAGACTGCTTGAGATCTGATTTGAAGGAATTAGCCCTTACCGAGGACATGACCTCTGATAGGAAAGTATGGAGACTTAAGACCAGGGTAGTTGAGTAGTGCGGTTCACAGCCATAGGGTGTAACATCTCTGTCTTCTTTTTAATGTCTTTGTAGTACTTCCCATGACTTCTACTTTATACATGTTTCTGTCATTGAAACGTATGAAGGCTTACAACTAGGGTATCGGAGTAGTGTTGCCTTAGTTTAAGAATTAACTCATTTGAATTTATTCCTTCTCGTAGCTTGCTATTATTGACTTCTGTGTATCATTTCTATTCATGTTTCCTCTTTTTAAATTTAGCTGGGTCTTACATTTTCAGTCTATATGCAGAGATTTCTATGTAGGGAATTATTTTGCAGGGAATTATTTACAGGGATTACTCCCCATTACGGACGCACATATCAAGACTGCATATGAAGATTGTTCATCTATGTATTTATTTATTTATTTATACACGCATTTTCATCTTATCTTTATTTTTAATTTTCTGACTGCCGGAGGTCTTCCACGGAAGCTGCTCTCAACCTGGCGTTGGGGTCAGCCTACTACCCTACCTCCCTCTTACCCCATTGCATATGAGAATCAGGGTTTTGTTGTTATTGTTGTTGTTGTAATTTGGATCCTAATTTAGAGTATTCTTAAAATTTAAAAATAAGATCATAATTTGAGGTACATATTATTTTGGATAAATTACAAATTTACTGATTGATCTTTATTTTCTCTTATTTCATTTATTGTATTTTTAATTTTTTAATTTATTAACTGAACTTTTGATTTGTTCTTATTTTGATCACTATAAATTATTTTATTATTATTTTGTTATCGACAGTCGTAGATGGTAGAAGACTAATAGTTTGGTCCCAGATTTCATCAATCGCTTTGTCTCGAACCCTTAATCCAAATCTAACCTTCATTTTTTCGGAACGTGCTCCAAAAATCAACGAATTATGAGATTGAAAATAAGGAAACTGAAACTTTTCAGTTAAAATTCACGGGTTTTAGGATTTTTTATGAAACAACCGTCATATTCGGACTCAAACAACCACTGGTTTCGAAGGCCAACGGTAATGACAAATGATGGTGAACTAAAATATTAATTTATTATTTATTTTAAATCATTTTATATTTAATAATAGTTAAAAATGTCATAACATAAAATAATAATAATAAAATAATAGAGAATGACAAAAAATCAATATATAAAGTTCAGTGAATAAATTAAAAAAACTGAAAGTACAGTAAATGAAATAGGAGATAGAGAAAAATTAAGTGAGTAAATGTGTAATTTACCCTATTGTTATTAATCTCAATAGTTATCTGTTCAGCTAGAGTGTATATGGAGTGAGCTTTCAAAGGTTGACAATTATAGAATACAATGTCAAAATTAATCTTTAATATTTGTTAGAAAAGTTATTTTTATTTTTGTTCTTTTCTCTAAAAAACTTTTGTCTTTAATGCTTTAACTTTTGGACAAAATATTCTTATTGAATAAAACTAATATAAGTCCTTAAACTTTATATGTTTTGCTCTTAAGTCCTTAGACTTTAGTTTTTTATATTTTAGTCCTTAAGTTTTTATTAGAATTATAAATCAACATAATTGATTAGGTTAACAATTAAAGCCTACAACTTAGGTTCAATTTAAACTTAATCATTTAATCTAGGAGAATTTTTGATTTGGTCTTCGCATATGCTCGAGGTTCTATTTTGGCTATTCAATTCAATAATTTACCAAATACAAATAGGATTAATATTAGAGCCTACGTTTTTAGCTTTAGGCCTCTAGATTCCTTAATTTCATAATTTAACACTTTAAGTCAGGAGAAGCTTTAATGAATTCACCTAGTGAAGTTAGGTTTTATTCGATTGATTGGTTTTACACGTTTTTAAAAAATAAAAATAAAAAAATCTAAGGCAATGTTCACTTATTAGAGAGTCAATAATATATCTCCTGCAAGTATGCTTAGGGGGTGACTATTGGTGATTCTTGAAATAGGTCGACATTCTTTTCAAAACCGCGTCATGATTTTAAAAAATCTATAGGCAATGTCCGGTTATTGAGCACAATAGTTGATTTCTCGCATTGATGCTAGGGGTGAATGCTATTGGCTTTAATAAATGAATATCGTTTTTAACTTTGCATCCATAATGATTTGGTTAAATAAAGTTCGAACTCAAAATTTTCAATTTTAAATATAGGGTAATCAACTAGGTACCAATTTTGGGTGATGTGGGGGATCTAATCATTCCCCACGCATAACTGACTCTCGAACCTATTTTTTGGTTTTTAGACCCTAAACTTGATATTTTGATAAAATAAAAATGTTTCATTAAAATTTACCGGTTTTTATGGTGTCTCGATCGCACCTTAAAATAATTGGTGGTGACTCCTCACATTTCAGAATCTTTTCAAAGAAAAACCCCACGTCGTACTAGTTTTCTTTCCACCCGGGCTAAAAAAACGGTGTCGACATTATCAATCAAGACTAATAGTTAGTCGATTAAGCTTTAAAGGTCGCATATAGCCACAATCTCTTATATTATTGCCATATACGACATTAGTGAATCTATCATTCTCTATATGTGATTTTTCTATTAAAATTTTCATATAAAATCTTGGTGTCATATTTTATTTCATTATACTTTCTACTATAATATTTTCCGTATAATATGACAATAGTTATATCAGATCGATTTCAAATTTCTCATCCATGATAAGTATAATTAAACTGATAAGTTTAACAGTTAAATTATTAAAATATTTTACCAACAACTGGTCAGTTTATTGAGATGAGACACTAGATTCTTTATGTAAGGTTAAAGGTTCAATCATGGTGTTTGCGAATAGAGCAAATTGAGTTGGGAGGGTCGCCATTGCCTCTGCAGTACCTGATCTAGATTAGTCAATCAGTAGATAGGATAATATATATTATCTTATACTCACTTCGACTATTCAAATACAAAAAAGAGATTTTATTCAATTTTTCAATATCCATATAGGTTATTGGTTAATGATCGGCACGAGGCCGGGCAGGTTGGTTTTTTGCTCACCCCGAAAATATATTGCTTATACCTGACCTGTCTCGAACCTATCTTGATTTTTAGATTATGATCCAACCCCAACTTTGACCCAATCCGAATATATTAATGTTTTAAAATAGTTAAAATAATATATTTATAATAATTTTTATATTTTTAAAATTAAATAAACATATTTTAACGATATAAAAATGACAATTCCTAAAATCTTAAATATATATATATATAAAGATAAATTAATAACTTATATCTAATCGGGTCGGGTCAATATTTTTTCACTTTAAATCTGATTTTGTCCGTCTAGAAGTTATATCCTGTCCCGTCTCAAACCTCAAAATATTAAAAGAAAAAAAATCCATCCATGTAAGATCGGGTTAGGTCGAAATCTCTCGAGTTCGGGTATTTTGACCATCTCATTTATTGGTATCGACTTTTATTAGAAGCTAAGTCTTGACAGGATCCAACAAATGCTCTCAATTTTCCTTTTATCACACTCATCTGCTGCTGAAATTTCTTCCCTTAGCTTGAAAAAAAATCAGAACCAAATCTATCTATCACTCATTTGCATCGCTGAAAAAAAGAAGATTTTGGATCTCTACCAACAGGATGAAGTCGGGAACATTATAAGTAAAATTATCTACTTAACTTTGACTTGTTTGGCTCATGTCTCAATATCAATATTAAAAAATAAGATAAATTACATGTTTAATATGTTCGATTAAAATTTATAATTGTTGGTACATATATATAATGTATGTTATCATAAAATATAACACAAAATTAAGTGACAAACTATA